TATATGCATGTTTGTATATGTCTGTGTGTGCCATCATGATAGTGGTGAGGTACCCATAGGTTGTACCAGACAGCCCCATGGAGCCAAAATGCAAGAAAGAAAGAAAAAAATTAGGAACCTGAGTGCTAGACTACTTGATTATTGAAAATAATGTGTGGATTCTCCCAACTCAAACCAGACACCATTGGTGACCCCACACTGAGAAGGTGTGAGCTGAACTATCAAGCAGACTTGAATTTTGTCCTTAGTTTATTACCCTTGTCACCTATTCCAGTGCCTTAACAGGGATTAAGAGTATGAACCTGGTGTTAGGTCCTTGCTCTACCTTCCACGGGCTGAGTGACCTTGGCCAAGTGACTTAACATCTCCAACAAGTTCCACACCTGTGAAGTGAGGACAACATTACCTCCTGTTCTCATAGGATGATTTGGTGTTCCTTACCAGCCTACCTGGAACCCAGTGGGAGCATAATCAGTGTTCATTCCTGCTACCCTTGGGGCCTCTCAGTACAGCGGTCCATTTCCATGGCCAGAAGGTCTCCTTCTGTTCTTGGGGTTCCTGGACAACCTATATATTAAAGGTGCAAGTGACTGAGTGCAGTCTTATTTAACAACTACCCCTGAAACTATGGCAGTTGTTTCCAGTTTGAACTTTATTGTAACAAGGACATTTGTTTCTTCAAGTGTGGCAAGTAGCAGGGGTACCTGAGCCCTGAGCCAGTGTGCTAAGAATGTCAGCTCCTACTGGCTGGAACTGGTCAGGAGGTGTTTCCAAAGCATCAAATCCCATGCAGTCATCCATGAGCTGGAACATTCCCAGTGACACCAGACCCAGAAATTGAGCCTATTGCTGACAGAGTGGAATTAGGGAAAAAGGAAACAGGAGCTTAGATTTAAAGAGTAAGAAAGAAACAAATGATCAGAACAAAACAGAAGTCCAAATATTTGACAACTTACGGTTTTTCTGCTGTCCAGCGATGAGCTGTGGGTGGGTATTTATTTTTGTTGCTAATATTTATTTTTTAATGTAGCAATCAGAGTCCCAAGTTTTAGAGTCTGGCACCAGCTCTGTCTTCTTGGAGATGCAGGCCAGCAGGGAACTTCCGGTTTTTTGCTTTAGTTCCAGTCCTGTGGCCTCTCTGTGGCCGGCCCACTTACCATGTGACACGTAGGACCCACCTCACCCTCCCGCTGTCAGCAAGAAGAAAAATAGCGCTGCAAAGAACATGTGAAATGTCTGAAAGATTCACTCTGGGGAGTCTGTCATCAGGAGATGGCTTCTCTTATTAAATTAAATATCGGAAGTATAACAGAGAATATTTATAATGTTAGTGTCCGTTAAAACAAGCAAGGATAAACAAACATGCTTAGTGTTCACCAGTTGAAGAAGTACCACATGGCTAGCAGACCATCCTCATCCCTGTTGGCCCTGGAAGAAAACTACTGTCCTGTAGCTTAACATACCCGCCCCCTTGTTTTTCTTTATTAACAGTTTTACTACAAGTATGCAGACATTTTATTTCTCATGTTTCATTTCATGTAAAACTAATTATTCTATTACAGTAACACGTTTCGGGTTTGAATACCAGGAGATTCTCCCATGTTGACATGCTCAACCATGCCCCTTTATTTTTCAGTGCCGCATAATATTCCACAGTGAGATTGCATCATATCCATCCACTCCATGGCTAATGGAGATTTCTGTGTTTCCAGTTCCCCTCTCCTGCCAGTACTGCCTCTGTTTACATTCTTGCATGAGTCTCTTTAGGCTTGTGTCAGTTTCACTAGATAATGTGAAAGTGTTTTCCAGATTGAACTCAGATTCTTGCCATAGATATACAAGCATTTTTACGATGTCTCAGGAAACACCTGGACTTGTCTTGACCTGTTTCCCACCTTGCCTTTCTTATCTGAAGGGAAGTTGAATGTCCTTCCCCACCTCTTACACTTGGATGTTGTTTTCCCTTACTCGTCCTGTCTGCTGTTGTCTTTTCTGGCTACCATCCAGCATCACGCTGAGTGAGGGTGACATGGACATGTCATGTCCAGCTTCCAGCAGTGTTTGGTTGGAGAGATGCATTTTTTTTTTCTTCCTGGATATCATGTGCCAAGTTCAGCTTCCAAAATACCCAGCTTTGTAAAAGCTTGGAAATGTATTTCTTTGGCACCTTTTCGATGCAGCTCTACTGCCAGTGGCTTGGTAGGAAGAGAAACGAACAGCATTGACAGATTTGAAGCATCAGCTTTGCACCTACAGGCAAGCTCTGAATCTTCTCCTAACAAACCCCACCCATCCCCATCCCTCCTCCATGGCAACAACCGGATAGATAACCCATGTAGCCGCTTTCTTGCTGCAAGCTTTACGGGAAAATGAAGAACAGTCCATTAGTAAACGTTGTTCATTCTGGTCCCTCTACTAGCTGCCCTGATTTTATTCATTTCCAAGGGCTTGGCATAGAAGCCATAAATAACTGCTTAAAAACAAAAAAAAAACACTACATTCATACAAACCAATAAAAATAATGCAGCAATTTGAGGATATTAAAACAAAAGTGAGAGCTATTCTGCATTATAAATTCTAAAGGGAAACTTTGCCCTCGTGATGTCTTAGAAACCTAAAAAGCAAGCTATTCGAGAGTGCTGGATGTGTTTTAAGTTTTGTTCAAATCCTTTTAGCCGATCTTAACTAGTCTCCTGTCACCAGCTGACCCCCTCCTCTGTGTGTGAGTCCCTCTCGCCTTGTTGAAAACTGCCCACTACCCATTAGTGGCAGTGAGAGGTCACATCCGAACTCTATGTGGACTGACATCTTGAATCTTCCTCTGGTTCCCTTCCCAATGACTCTCTCTGTCCCACTTAGAATCCTGACAAACAACATATGGAGTCAGTGTTGTTCTTGTAGCTGGTTAAGCCAAGGCTCTTGACCCTGGAATCCTGTATACCAGAGCTGATTTGAATCTGGCTGCTCTGCTTCCTATAGTTTCTTACTAATATTTCTGGGAAGGCAACAGATGATGGTTCAAATACTTGGATCCCTGCCACCCATATAAGAGACCAGGATGGAGTTCTGGCTGCTGGCTTCAGCCTGGCAAAGCCGAGAGGTTGTGGCCTTCTCGAGAGTGAGCCAGCAATAGAAGATCCATCAATTAAGCTCTCTTTTTCACTCACTCTCACTCTACCTTTCAAATAAATAATCTTTATTTTCAATAAATAATCTCCATGGTTTAACTCTTTAGTTGCCATATTTCCCTCCTGGACACACACCCCTCCCTCAGCACAGTTCCTGGCCCTCAGTGTTAGAACTCAGCTTGGCTTTAGGTCATTCCTAAGCCCCTCTCCTGTTCTTAGGGCTCTCAGGATGAGTTTGTGTGTTTAATTTTTTTCTTTTAACATTTCTTTGAAAGGCACAGTCAGGGACCCACCATATACCCATAGTGATGGGGAGTAAGGTGCAAGTGCAAGAGCTAGGAACTCAATCCAGGTTCCTTATGAGAATCACAGGGCCTGTCCGCCCTGCCCTGCCTGGGTCCGCATGAGCAAGGAGCTGGTATGAAACCCAAGCGTTCCTGTGCGGGATGCAGGGTAACCATGAGGCTGACTGCCTGCTTCTGCGTGTTTCTGTATGTGTAGGGGGTGTATTTTAATGTAACACTGTCATTCTCAAGAATGGTGTGATTACTCAAGAGTTGTGTACAACAAAGTATCTTCTAGGAAACAGAGCAGACATGCTGGGCTAATGAGTGGTTCAGAACAATCCCCTGCAAGCTGGAGAATGTATGGTTTGTCAGCTAACCCTTTCTGGGTTACACGGAAGGAAAAAAAGAGACATGTTTTGGGCCAGAAATTTATAGCAGAAGTCATAGAATTTTCCCTATCTCAGGGCTGTCTAGAACATCCTCTCTTTTAAAAAGCCCCGCAGTTCTTCTTTTTCCCCCTTTGGCCTGAAGAAGTCACGTAGCTTGCTTCCTGAAAACAAAGGAAGTAATAAACAATAGCAACTCCCAATTTTACTCTGATTCCTTGCCAAGTTCAAGCGATTCCATTTCATTAGAAACAGCCAATTAACATAAGAAGAATGCTTCTAACTTAAGCTACCCAAGTATACACTTAGTTAATACTCTGGGAGCTAGTTTATTGTATTATGTAAAATATAAATTGGCTAGCAGAGAGCTGTGTATTGAGGTAGAAGACCTAAGCAATGATGCATAATTTTCCCTTAACTGTTGAGTGTTTTTTAATAAGCTACTAAAGTTTAACAGAGAGCCATCTCATTATATGGAAGGTGGATAAATACTAAGAAGCCTAAAATTCAAAGTATTATCCCCACGTGGAGAATGGGTTTTAAAAATTAATGATATTTCAGGAACAAACAGAGATTTGGGGATTTGCTTTTAAAACAGCAACTTTTTCTTAAAAGTATTTGAAATGGGGCCCGGCGCGGTGGCGCAAGTGGTTAAAGGTCCTCGCCTTGCACGCCCGGGATCCCATATGGGCGCCGGTTCTAATCCCGGCAGCCCCGCTTCCCTTCCAGCTCCCTGCCTGTGGCCTGGGAAAGCAGTCAAGGACGGCCCAAAGCTTTGGGAACCTGCGCCCACGTGGGAGACCCAGAAGAGGCTCCTGGCTTCGGATCGGCATAGTATCGGCCCGTTGCGCTCACTTGGGGAGTGAATCATCGGACGGAAGATCTTCCTCTCTGTCTCTCCTCTCTGTATATCTGCCTTTCCAATAAAAAAATAATAAAAATAAATCTTTAAAAAAAAAAAAAAAAGAAAAGAAAAGTATTTGAAATGTAACTGAAGACACCCAAGTTGCCTGTGGGAATGCTACGGAAAGACAAAATTTAAACAAGGTGGACAATGGGGTGGCATGGAGACCTAGGAGGGAACAGAGCCTGGTGGTGGTAGGGTAGTGCCAAGCTGCCTGGTGGCTGGAGGCCCCGTGTTTGCCTTGCATCTAAATTTGCCTTCGCAGTCAGCCCTGTGTATTTTCCCTCGCTTTCAGATAATGTTGTCCTGAAAGTGTAGTGCCCTGTGCCCTGCTTTGTACCACGGATTGCTGCAACCTTCTGAGTCCCTTCAACTGTTGATCTCAAGAACCCAGTGATGGCCAGACACCCTGTCCAGTCCTGAGCTGGCCCCCACAGAGCAGCCCTGAGGCCGCCAGTGCAAGCACTCTGGTGCAGACAGAAGGATCCCGAGCCTGTGGCAGCAGAGCAGGCTCCTTCCTGCGGGTACCAATCATGTTAAGAGATGGGATGAGGCGGTGGAGGTGGGAACGGACACAGGCAGCAGGCCTCTCCCACCTTTCTGTAGATGTTGACAACCTGTCTCCTCAGACTAACTCCCCTGAGCCAAGGGGTCAGAGAGTTCTGGACTTCCTACTTCACCCGCTGGGACTGACACTTGGATTTACCTTGTAAGAAAGAGGAAGAATGTCAGGATGTGTCCTTTTCCCCAAGGGAGCCCAAATGTCAGAAATCCAGTGGTCCCAGGACAGAGTGGCTTTGGGACAGGGGTGCTGATTTGGGGTGTTCTCCAATTTCCATGATATGAGTTTCCCCCACATTGGCAGACTGCAAGCTCCCAATCTGACCGTCCCGGAATGTGTGGAGGAGTAGCAGTTGGCAGTTAGCTCTCGTAATACAGGAGGAGAGAGCTCCGGTACACGACTGGTACTATCAACCTGTGTGGCTGCTTGCAGGACGTAAAACGTCAGCAGGCTTCAAGTCCTCATAGCACGCCTGGCAAACAGCATCTTCTCTCAGTCTCTGCCTTCTCCTTCCCTTCCTCCTCCCACTTTGTCCTCCAGAAGAAAGCTGCACATGTGATCGTACAGCTAGAGCGTGAGCAGGGGTAAATAAAGAACTGGATTACACGTTTTCTTCTTTTGTGGATATCGAATGTAAAAGCTGGGTGTGGATCGAGCAAAATGAGGAAGAGAGGTTTCAATTACTTTTTAATTGTATCAACTCTCACATTGCAAAGTGGGCTGGTGAAAAGGGGAGACGACAGATCAGCTTTTTGCCATTCAGCTAAGACAAGTAAGGTCTTGCTGGGTTGTCAGCTCTGTTCAGTGAGAAGCGGGCATTTGGCATTCTGTGCAGTGAGAGGAGTGGGGAAGGAAAGATGATGCTGGCAGGCTTACGGGAGAAAACCCACTGAAGACATGGTCAGATGTTTTGGCAGAGACTTGATCTCACAGCCAAACTGCTTTCCCACTTTAATTGGGACTTTTCCCATGGGAAGGAATGATTCGTAATGTGGAAATCTAAGAAGCCTGGAGGATAAATATTTCCTGTCCTGCAGAATGTATTATACTCTTATTTTTCTGGAAAGGTAGAGTGAAGACTGTCATATTTATTAGTACTGTAACTTCTGCTCTTACTCTACTCCTTCATGAAAAAAAAACTCTTTCAGCATACAAACTTAGATAACATTAGCCTAATAATGTTACATGGTCATCTGTGCCAGCATATGATGCACTGAGTGCCACGGAACACGTTACATGCATTATTGTCTGTGACTCCCTATGAAAAGGCAAATATTCTTAGAGTGTTTGTCCATTCCAGTTTGATACTTTGTTGTTGTTGTTGTTTACTCTTAACATTGTAAGTCCTATATCTCCAGAACTACTTGGTCCTGGGCAAACTGGGACAACTGGTTACCTTAATATTCTCTTTCTATCTGTCTGTCTGTCTGTCTGTCTCTCTCTCTCTCACACACACACACACGGAAATAGTTAAGTCACAAGGACAGTCATGGAGCTGGGCTGAACTCCAGATGGCCTGAATCCCAAGGCCATGCCTGCAGCCAGCACTCTGAAGCACTTCCTAGGCCACTGTGTGTGCTTTCAGGCTTCCACTGACTGCAAGTGACTGGGAGATCAGGTTCAGAAAAATCTTAATGACTTTTTTTTATTAGACACATTCATAGTGCCTCTCAGATGTCCCTTGTATATGCCTTTAAAAAGAAGTATGACACTTGACCACCAGATTTCTTCCAATCTAAATGTCCCCGATCTCAGAAGTCTGTTCTTCATAGCAAACATTTCTTATGGTTTGAATGCAGTTTAACCCCTGAACTGATGCGGGAGCTTAAACAACCAAGTCTTATGTTAATGTTAATGGTAATGTTAATGGTAATGGTAGTAACAGGGTGGAAAGTTAATCTAACTATGGCATTAAGTGGCAGGGCCTTTGGGAAATGGCGAAATTATTAGGACTGCATTCTGCTGCCTTTTATAAGAGTAGGAACAGAGACTTGACAGATAGCCTGCCTCAGATGTTTCGTTACAGTCAGTAGCAGAAAACTGAACGATACACATAGTAATTTCTATTCCATGTACTGCCACTCCCGTATCCCATCAACTGGTAGTCAGAATTCCCTCTGTCTCAGCACTACTAACTTGTTAATGCTACATCATTATCCATCCTTTTAGTGTATACCTAAAGGTTGACTTACAATCAAATTTAGAAAAGTCTGCTTTGAATTAGTCTGTTCACTGACTTTCTAGATATGCAAATACACCTTACAAAGCATTAACTCAACATATACTACCTTGGTGTAAATATCTTTAAACTTCTACATAGTTTAATTTCTAAAAGACATTATTGCTGTTGAAATCCATTATTTTTGCTCATTTGCAAATCCTTGTTGCTCTTCATTCCTTACCACACTTGCATGTTTACATCAGAGGAAGTATCTTCCTTCTGCCTCAAAAGCAACATTGTGCTTCTTCGGTGCATGCCTTGTGGGGACAGACTTTCCCAGCCTCTGATCTCCTTGTAAATAGCTCTGTGAGATCTTCTGCTGAAATTCTAAGCTAGCACTTACTTTGTTTCAGAATTACAGAGATGCCATTTCTGCCTTCAGTTCTCTGTGTTTCTATCCACTCAGTTCACCTTCTTGCTTTTTCTATGGAGTCTGTTCCTTTTCCAGTGATAGCTTGAAGGGTTTTCCCTTTGTATTTAGTTTCCCGCAGTAAACTCTCAGGTAACAAGATGTGGTTACTTTTCTTTGAGGTCATCCTGTATAGGGTTCACGAAACATCTTAAGATTATGGTCTGATAACTTTTTTTTTCTGGAAACATTTCACTCTGAATGTTTCTTTATCCCCATTCCTTCCTTAACAGGTTAGTCTGGAAATAAGTGCAACTAAGCAGCAGATATTTTGTAGTCTAGTGTCTTTCTTCTTTCTTCATGATTCAGTCTGGATATTTCCTATGATCTACCTTCCAGTGCATGTGTTCCTTCTTCTACCATGTCTAACCTACACTTCAAGTCTCTGTTCAGTCATTCATTTTCACTAACAATGGTATGTGAGCTTTCCGTTTTAGAGTTTGTACTTAATTCTTTTGGGGGAATTCTCTATTTTTTAGCTGCTTCTTGAATATTTTCTCCATAGTTACTTAATTAACAATCTATATCTGATCATTCAAACTCTGGATTACTGGTCATTTCCTTCTGTGCTAGCACTATCTTTTCTGTCCCTCACTGGGGTTTTCAGGCATTTGTGCTTTTCTTATAGTATGCTTACAAAATGTTACTGAAAGTCAGATCCAATGTACCCAAAAGTAATGAAAAGTCAGGTTATCTTTTTTCAGAGGATTTAACTGTTTCTGCAAGGCAGCTAGAGTAGAGGCAGCCCACTCATGCTGAGGCAGCCAGGGACTGTGATAACTCATTGGGTGCTGGATGTCAGGGTTTGTGGAGACTACCCCAGTTCTGGTTTGTTGTGGCTTCTGGACATTGCCATGCAGCTAGCAGAATGCCTGTGCTGTTTGCCAGGGCCACCTCTCTTTGCTGATCAGAGGCACCAAACTTGATTTTTCTTTGTTGGTGCTCTTTTCTGGCCTCTCAAACACTGTTAGACCAACTACAAGTGCCAGAAACATTTCATGCTTTGATCTGTCGCTCTGCACTGGATCCTGTCTTTGTTTTTGTGTTGTCTTAAAGTGGTTGGCCTCAGTCTTTGCTTGAAGGTGCCTGCTAACAGGTTCATTTTATTTATTCTCATCCCAAGTACTTTTTTTTAAAGCTAATATCCTTTTCAGTGCATACTCTTTGATTTCTACCTGTAATAATTAGCATCTGAAGAAAAGGATATTTTTGAAATATGGAATGAAGTGGAAACAGTAAAACAACCTCTATGGGAATCAGGAAGTATGAGTCTTTTGAGTATAAACATTAAACTGCAGTGAAATCAGGAACCACAAACCAAGACAAAAAGGGACCATAAATTTATCCTACATGTTTCACCTTCTAGACTTGCATCTCGTGTGTGTTGTTTCTTTCCTTTGCTGGTTAATAATGTACTACCCTTTCAAATCTGCTCCTGTTGGCAGCCTGAATTGGGGAGGGGCTGGGGTGGGGGGAGCTCTAACAGTGTTTTTATCTGGCTAATTAGACACTGAGTGTATCAGTTTCACCCCAGCCTCTTCTCCTTGCCCTTCTCATCATCCCTCCCATTGGAGACAGCCTGCACTGTCTCCCAGCTGATCCTGTGCTGTAGTCTCCTCCTTCTCCTCCTTGCCCTAGTATCATTCCCTTCCAGATTGGCCTCCTCATTAGGTATTTAGTCATATTTCCACAAAGCAGATCTGGACATGTCACTGCCCAACTGATAAACCTCTAGGGTATCCCTAGAATAGGCAAATCCGTGGAGACAGAAAACAGACGAGTTATTTGCCAGCAGCTGCAGGGGAGAGGGCAGTGGGAAGTGCTTAACGCTGGGTATGGGCTTCCTTTAGGGAACAAACACACTCCGCAGCCAGAGAGAGGAGACGGCTGCCAGATGCTGTCAGCATGCCAGGCGCTGCTTCAGGGTACACTGGGGAGTAGCCAGAGCAGTGTGTTTGAGTGCCTAAGATGCCACTTGGATCACTCCTATCCTGCCTTGGAGTACCTGCCTTTGAAACTCAGCTCTGCTCCCAGTTCTAGCTTCCTGTTCATGTGCACCCTGTGACGCAGCAGCAGGTGGCTCAAGTATCTGGGTCCTAGACACCCATGTGAGGCACTGGGAGTGAATTTCTGGCTCATAGCTGGACCTGGCCTAGTCCTGGCTGTTTGCATTTCAGGGTGAACCAGTGAATGGAAGTGCACTCTTGCTCATTCACTTTGTCTCTCTTCTGCCCTCTTACATTCCCCTTGCCTTTCAAATATGTCGTTATTTTAAAAAAACTGTAGAGGATGTGATGCACTCAGGTCTGCCTGTTACACAGGGCACTTTGCAATCCCACACTAGGATTTGCTCGTTCAACTCTCATTTCCATTTTCCCTTCTGCTCTACGTGAATGAGACCCCTCACAGACTGCTCTAGCTGTGTGTTGCCTCACGCCTCTGCATTTGCACATTTGACTTCCTTGGTCAGAAACACCGATCTGTCCAGCAACCTGCTTCTTTAAGAACTTCCAAAGCCCTCCCCCACCCCAACACATATATAAGGGTTACAAAGTTCATGGAAGATGCAATTAAAAGACAAATTTATTTAAATGCAAAAACTTCAAGAAGTTTTTGCAGTCTTGGAATAGTTCAGGAAAATTACATTTCATGAAAAAACTATTGAGTGTGTTTCATGCATGCATATATGAAACATGTCATACATCGGTAAGCCCCAGATAGGCATCCAAAAGGGCATGACGGGAAACGTTACTGCCAAGTCCAAGTTTCTGGATCTAGAGAGAATTGTACTATTTTTTTTTTTTTACTCAAAATCGAGTGGAACGAGCCTGTGCAGTGTATAAA